GCAAATGAGTGTATTTCTCGAAAGCGGTTTTTTGTTCACCAGATTATACACGTTTCCAACATAGCTGGAGTCATCTGCATGTCATTCGTGAACATGCGAACGCGAGAGGTCGTCCGGTGATTGTGCAGCTGTGCAGAAAAGGATATATGCTATGTATGCATACTGGACAGAAATGGCTGTAACTTGTCCGCAAGTTTGCTAAGTTGAATATACTACAGGCATTTCTGGTATTTAGAGGTAGCTGCTCATTGAGCTCTCGAGAATAGTTATGGAGATTTTCTGAGAAGTGGTGAAATCAGAGATATTTTGTTCTTCCTGGTGAAGAGATATACCCAAAAAATAAGGAATTTACGTCCATTGAACATGCAATATCTGTGCTTATGGGAATATGGTCCACGATATTTGCCCTTAAGGAGTCCCCAGTGTGTTTCAGAGAATTTCGGTTCAAAAACAGGGATTCGAATACCCATTAATCAATGGGTTGGTAAATGGTGCCCTCACTGGTGCATGTATAAAAGCGACCTCAGTTAAAATAGTTCAAAAAAGGTTTACTTTTTCCAGTGAGGGAAATATATCGAAGGTTCAGAGAACGCAACCCTGGCTGTATGTACCATTCGATATCAGAACGAAAGCTCTCTATCCATTGAAAAATGGCATCACCAGTCGTTCTTTACGAAGCTCAGTTGTCCTAGAAAATTTACCAGGTTTGTAAAAATGTTTTATAGTGGGCTGCAGGCTGAATTTCGACACTGACGTGCCACGCAAATCGCTGCAATTATTTAGATCTCTCTGTTTCGGTGAGGATTGGTAAAAGCTAAATAGTTTTGGTAGAAATCGACAGATGCCACACTAATTTCTAGCGACGAAAGGTATATTCGTCTGACACAAGAGCCATTCAAAATGAGCCCACCACATCCTGGTAATGGATTTTAATTACATGGGTCAGTCTCAACGAACAGAAGTTGGCATCTAGCCGCCATGTTAAATTGGAGGTCGTGTGTGCATTTCTACGCAGCCGTTGATGACATTCTCGTGATGGTCCATGTTGTTGATACATGTGATTTAAACACTTTGTATTTGAAGTCTGATGCTCTTCCATCGAGATTCCTCCCAATTACACAGTTGACAAAATCGTTCCATGCTATTTGGTGACCCATAGAACTACAACAAAGAACACTTGCTACAGGTTGTCCTTCGAGCTGATACCTTTACTATGGGATATTTTTGAAATATTGCTTTACGATTTTTCGGTGACGAATCAAAATTTAGTGCAGCCCAAGTCGAGACAGTCGAGAGTGAGCAGTGTAAAATGGACAGCATGTTCGTCGGAATCCGCCAGGCTAGACTATTATTGTTAGGGATACAGGTCTCAGAAATGGTATATCGGATGTCTGCTGATGGGGACGGATGCAGGGTATCGAGTGACGACTAAAACACTTGGGAGAATACTACAGATAGTTTTTCTGAATCAAAGCTAATAAAAACCATACAAAATTGCGTATATTGTCTGAAAGGTTTCGGTTTACACACAGGAGGAGCATAAGAATCCTCACGGATATACGCAGATATCCGGTTAACGCGAAAGAAACACTGGACTAGTGTGTGGGTAACTTTGGTGTTTCACATAAAATCCTTTATTTGGACTTGTTCGGAAGGTCCGCAAGTTGATTTGTTTGCATGTAGCTGAGTAAGTAGTGCACATTGTAAATTTAGAGATCGAGGAAGGATTCTTCAGAAAACTCAAATTGACGGATGGATGGTTCATTAGGTCAGTAGTCAACCATCTAAAGCCATCTAAATGAAGTCTGAAAGACCCCCGGCTACCGTTTAAAAGCCTGGCAAATAAGAAAAATGTAATACCTTTCTAATTTTTCCCAATAATCTCTGACATGTGTTGAGTGTTCCATCCACAAATATTTAGTTCATATTCGTCTCAGGTAAGATAATTCCAACAGCTATTTTTTCTGCGCTGGAGTCGGTTTGTCATCCAATCAGCAAAGCTGACAGCCAAGCTTTCAATTTTTGCAACTGGAAATTCGTTTTTCAAGTGGTGCGAAAACTGGGAAAAGTAAGACTTAAAAGGAGCGTGAAGAGCTTTCAAGCCTTCGTTTTTTTCCGGACCCGACGGCCTGCAACCTGCTCATGCAGGTCAGACTGTAATTCAATTTCTAACCACTCACGTTACACGTTTGTCCACTGTCAGGCGGCTATTCGTTCCCAACCATTCACACGTCGACACCCGTGTCTGGGCTTAGCCTAAGGACCATCAACTTTTACTGACTGCACACAGTGTATACCACAAATTCCGATTGGCGCTAGCAGTTGTCCATGTGGGATCGACGTGACTTACAAACACATGCATGCCTAGAGGACGGTAACTGCAAGACCGATTCAACACCGAAACCAAATTAATATTGAAAATGGATGTAATATGACGTTCTTGTGCAGTAACTCTACATGACCGTGTTTTTGCAAACATGTCGAATGTGCTGCTGCACCGGAACGAACAATACGCGCCACGATCACGCACATAATTTCCCCATCGGATGATGTTTAACTGAACGCTATGCAGGATACATTACACATGTCCTTCAGTTTGCACAGAAAACATTTACTCACTGCAGAAATTCACACAAATGCAGCATACAACATGTGTGGCAACCACAGGGCCTTATGTGCTCCACTTTATGTGTGTCTCTTCCTACTGTTGACTTCCGGCGTAAGGTCGACTTTTGGAGTACATGTCTACACTTCCGTACAGACCCGGCGATATCCCCATCAAAACTGGACATGGCTTAAAAACGAAACCACCCCATTGAACAAGGAAATGTATCAGAGGGATTATGTCCTTCCACCTTTGGAATTGCGTGATGAACCACAGACCATCGGGCCTTATTTTACACCAAGGAAACTAAGTGGCTATTCGGAAATTAGGAACAACTACATGCCAAGGCAGCCTTCTGTTTTTGATAATGGGCATTCCACCAGTCTTCACAGTCGTATTTCCAAGAAACCAACAAATAGAGTAAACAGTTATCCCCCTTGGTACGCTGATAAATATAGACGATACCAGAGAGATGAAGCTGATCCATTTACTGACGGTATCATACCTCAGCCATGGAACTACCAACCTCGATGTAGATCATGTGGTCGGCCGTTGCTCCAAGATTCATTCTGTTCGGATGATTTCGGTAAGTCATTCAAGCCTTTGTGGACTTCTGTTTACCTTCCGGCTTTTTGTTGCTATGTATCAGCTTCAGTCAAGGATCGCCAACCTATTTTTTCAAAGTTTTCTTCAGAAACGTTTTAACTGTGCGACCTGACAAATGGCGCAGTTATTAACCATGTGCTAACTAACTCAAATTGTTACTTTAGTGAGAAGTGAAGGAAGAATTTGGGACAAAAAGTCGAGTTGCACTAATTACTGGGCTTCAAATTTTATTTAACTGAGAATTTATGTGATAAACTTTAGTTGTCTAAGTGATGTACGCCGAGGAGCGTTTCCGACCATTAAAAACCCTATTTCAGCTTTCGTAGTACTCTGCTAAGCACATCAAATCATCGCCTCATGGGCACACAGAAGCCAGTTGCTTCAGATAGATGAACTTAGTAGTGGGCATTCAGGCACGATGCGAATTTTGTCCAAAGGATTTACACAAACATAATACTAAATTTCGTGCTTAAAATTTTACGGAGCTGCCAGAGTAATCAACTGGGAGGATAGTTGTTTCGGACATTTTTACTATCTACAACTATGCTCTTGACAATACCGCTTAAGTTAAACTCATTGCTTTGTGACACTCGATGAAAAAATTGCTGTTTTTGGTATTCCAGAAGACCTCAGCAATTGGTCTGTAAACTACTTGCCATTCGTCAAGGAATAACCATCTATGTGCTTTTGTATGGAAGTCTTTGTGTTCGGGGACAGTTCGACCGCGTCAGTTCCGCAGTCACCTGGTTAAATACCGATTGCACGACAAAGGACAAAGAAAGGGTTCTCACCTGGTTAAATACCGATTGCACGACAAGGGACAAAGGGTTTACTAACTCTAATGAGAGCTACAATCCAGATTGGATTGTTTCTTCGTGGTTGCTCAACGGACATATAACAAATCCACTAAACTCCTGGATTTTCCCAAACCCGGCTCAGCAACACATGATGTTAGTTGGTTATTCCCGTTACGCCAAACTATCTCTTGCTGTGATCCTAATGCATTTGGAATATTCCCATTTGTTTATACTGACGGTTGTTTTCCTGCTTGTGAAACACACCTGGCGAATTCAGCTCTCAACAGAAAGTTGCAAGTAAATTTCTGAAGCTAAGTCAAATCTACGCAGATGTCTGCTTAAATTTCACTGAAAGTGACTATGTAAAACAAGCATTTTCGGCGACAGTACTCTAATCTTTTCGCCAAGCGTGGCATTTAGCACACGGACGATTCGTCACCAACAGAGTTGAAATCGTAAGCACGTGTTTGATATGCTCGCACTGATGACGTCACCCCTATTGGTGACGAAAAGTTTGTGTGTTAATTGTTAAGTTGGACAAACAAAGCAGCGGTTAAGTGGTTAATCACCAGCACACATTTTCACTTAACTCTTAGTCCATCGCAAAATAAGCGCACGTGCACCAAACCTTTAGCGCTTGTTTGGGTCTACTTGACTCAATTTGAAGCCAAACCAGAGTTTACTATTTGCATCTGTTACTAGCCAATTCAGGTCAATTTCTAACAAAACGTACAACGCAGAACCACTATTAAATGACATTCCTCCAAAAGCCCCGTAATGGACAGGGGCTGTGTACCTTCCAGAAAGGTCTTTGGCTTAGGGCAGTCAAGCTCAATTCCAGTTGTGGATACATATTTGTATCGAAATACGGTTGACATGCGATGATTAACCCATGTGATTCACAAAGTGTTTTCACTACTGTGGTATCTTCTGTTCATTGGTTAATTGTATAAACAATAAAACAAACAAGTAAGCCACTTTGATTTCATTTTAGGAGCTTCCTGCATTCTTTTAAAGTTGTTCACCATTAGTTTACATATATATTGGCCTAAAATACAACGAATTGTTGGTTAAGTATACGCCCAATCTATAGCAGGTAACTAGTTTGTATTGAAATGCACTCACTTGCTGAGCAAGTTGATGGGGATTGAAGATTAAGCTGAGTCTCAAGGGAATCTCGCTTTCAAGATATCATTCCACTAAATGTGCCGTAGGAAGGCGGCCTCATTTTTAAGTTGCCACGGTATTCTATATGTCAGATTGGGGAAAGTTATTGAAAAAACGTACGAACTAACACTATCTGACGAGCCCTGAGAATTATGAAGGCATTGATGTGTAATCCATGGGTTTTCAGTCACCCTATAATTGGTGTTGCGGTAAGTGGGTTGATTGATTGCCTTCACTGCCAACGAACAGAATTTTATCTACGGATTAGGTTTTCCTTCACTACAGTTTTATCGGGAATTTAAACGCAAATGGCTAGATTCTTAAACGATTCCGGAAAAACGATAATATATTGTATATTTGAAAAGATACTTGAAGAACAAGCAAACAGTGTTTGCACTCGCACGAAAACACAAACGATTGGAAATTTTCGTACCAATGAAAGCGTTTTGGCGGGTGATAGTGCATGAAACAATCGCGAATAGGTTGGATCCTATTCCGAATGAACCGGACATCAAAAACCTAAAGAAACGCCCGTGGGTTGCAAACAATAAATAAAGGGACATTATGGAAACTCGATTTTAGAAAAAAAGTAGCCATGAATTACTCACCTAACATGCTACTCTTCGACAGCCCACGACCGGTTTTGCCCTTCTTGGGATTCATCAAATGGACGCAGTCTTCGTTTATCCATCAACCTAATGTTTTACTTGAACCCAAACTGCAAGAAATTAGCGAAATACACTCATTTGCCTACTGATTTGGTTTTGACGGGAGACTCATCTAGAACCCAGCTGAATTTCTTGTCCATGATTAGCCCTAAGTAGGACGGAACCGGTCGCGGGTTGTGGATGAGTTTCCACCAATCTTATGAGTATTGTATTACGTCCATAAAATGTATCGCGATACCTCGGATATCGTGTCAAGCGAATCATGAGTTGGCCTGGTGAAGCATACTCATTTGCCTAAAAATCTCACAATGAGAGGTGCAGTTGGGCTCCAGGTTATTTTCTCGTCAAAACTAAATTGTGATGCAAATGAGTGTAATTCAGCCATAAATTTGCATACATCCTGTACTTTCATAACCGTGACCTGAAATGTCGATAATCGGAGTTACCGGAATTCAACGTTAAACTTACGTCAAGATAGCAATAATCTCCTCTTTTGGAGCTTATCACTGCGTGTCCCATCGGTTACTTATTTGACACACCAAGTCCAACTTATGTGTACAGTAGTTAATCAGTCCATTCTAGGATCTTTGGAGATGAAATTCAAAAGTAAGTTGCCTTCCACCCAAAAAACGGTGCTAAATGTATACCCGAAAACTCAAAACAAGTGGGAGATAAGTTGATGGCAAACCCCCAATCGGGGTTATCAGGAATGACAGTCTGGTAGCTTGCCTATCTCTAATAGTTGATTGGAATAGGGTTTCGGTTTACCTTCGGACCTAGTCGTGGATGGTGTCATTTTGCATTTAAGCGACTTCGTAACACTGGCACATCTGTCACGGGAACTTATGGGGCCAGGTTACGCTGGTTTGCCACATAGTCCAGTTAATCAGCATCCAACACATCCAGTGGACATTCAATTGCCTATCGCGTCGGATGCCCTGGTGACTCACCCATTTTGGCCCGAAAAACACATGTGAAGCCCTGCTGTTGGGTATGCATGCACGTGTGTTCTGTGTGACGCTTTGTCCCGGTGAAAACGGGCTGCACCTAAAGGTCACCGGCATGACAAAAAATGGCCAGACTCCTTTTATTTGCGCCTGGTCCGGAAGAACACGCAATGGTGACTGATGATTAATGGACCTGCAATTCGCGGAAGTGAATACACTAGCGTGGGGATCTACCAAGTCTCTTGTCTCAGGTCGTCATGCGGAGGAAAGGACTGAGCGCGCCAACTCTGGGAATCGATGGTCGATCATTAAGGTCAGACTTTGTGGAACAGGACACAGCATCCGAAAAGTTGTGATGAACGTAGTGTTAAAATTAAGTGCTCCTGAGTGATACACTGAAGCCATTTGAAGCAAAACAGGGAATGCCAACAAGAAGCTGATGTCACAGGTTGAATAGAAATGCCTCTTTTCTATAGAAGCGAGGTTGGAATGGAATAATGTGTGCATAAATCATTGCATTACACTGTAATTATCTTAGTTGTGCTTATCTTATTTGTGCTGTTTGTTTTCTATCCTAATGTAGCTTTAGAGGTCAGCTGAAAAACGATATTTCCAGGCGCTCAGCTTTTGGGACGGGGATCTTATGGTTCACAGCTTACCGGAGAACAACGTTTTACACGGTATTCGGTAAATAAATAAATAAATAAATACCGAGAGCTGACTAATGTGAAGTTGAAGGAAACCGAATCATCAAAAACTTGTTTAGGGTGGTACAAATCCTTGACTTCATTGCGGCTGGGTGGTCACAATAAAATTAAAAACTTAGTCAGCTGGTCTCCCTTTTGGAGTCACTGGACCTCATGTGGTGACTCGCAGATGATTTTCTGGAGTTCTCCCCTAGACACTTCTCGGTAAGAGTACTTCTATTCCAACACCAAGAGATGTATATGCTCAGATGGCACTCCCAAACCCAGCGCATTCAAAACCTCCCGTACATTCGTTTAATGTTGATACATTTAAAAGGCTGCTTCGACCACAAGGATAGTCGTGACGGAGGTGTCTCAGGCCAGTTGCAACCCCTTGATGAATCCGCATCAAATTTTGTCGTCACTCACGACCAGAGGACCAATCGTTTCGAGTCACCAACGGAAGCGGAACAACTTCCAGCTCCTACCATGTTAACCTGTTTTGAGGAGTTTTCCTGTACACTGAGTTGACTGCAGTGAGCACAGCATATTTATGAAGTTCATGGTGGTCCTACGTTCACCTAGCTCTTCAGTATCTGGCCTTTCGCGGTGTGCAAACTAAAAAAGCATTGGAGAACAAACAGTTTCCGGGCATGAAGGACACTTTGAATATCCGCAGTTGTCAGTTCTTCACATACGTTGAAGATGAGTCATA